TTGGAAACATACATACCTAGGGAACTTTTACTTTGAAAACCTGGGCACTGGCTGAGTTTAGATGCCTATGAAGTTTGGCAGGAGTTTTGTGGATTGCTGTGGGGCCAAAACTGGGATTTAGGGTAGATCTACACTTACAGTAGCATGTAGAGTACAGACACTGGATGCTCAGCTAGCATGGGCATAAATAGCACTGTAGTTGATGATGCACTGGTTAGGCAAGTAGAGTACAGGCACACCACAACCCTAGGTATATACCCTTCATGTCTCTCTACATGCCCAAGCAATACCTCCCCCATTCACACTGCTATTTTTAGCAGTGTAACATCCCTCACTGCAGTGAAAGACTCCAGCTGCCAGGAAAGGCTCTGGGTGGGGGGAGGAAGCGGGGAAAGGCTCTGGCAGATTCCTGCTACCTCCTGCCTGCCAGAGCCTTTCACTGCAGCGTGTAGCTACACACTGCAGTGTGGCTGCAGGCTGCTTTTCACTGCAGAATGTAGCTACGTGTACCCTACATGCCACCAAAAGTGTAGACAGGGCCTTAGGTGCCTGAGTGTCTCTGTGGATCTGGGCCCAGAAATTCAGACCAAATGGTGCCACATAAGTCACCTAAAGTTGGAAAAGAAAACCTGTTAATGATGTTTGAGGCACTCCAATTATTAGCAGACGTTTGTTCTAGAATCAACATATGAAACCCTTTGAAAAACACTGCAAGAGGGAGCCAGAGTCAGGACAAAGGCAAACCGTCATGATGGAGGTCTCATAGTAATAATGAATACCAGTCATTTATAGCAAAAACATATTACTGAGGAATGACCTCAGTATTGAACTGAGTGAATTAGTACATTTATGAATAACTTAGATACCACTTTAGAAAGAGGAAAAACCCAAGGAAGGGTGCTTTATTATGGCTGATGTGTAAACAGCTTTTTCCAATTACATGTACTGTAGGCAGGGGATCTGAGATTAGACAGTGACTATTAGAGTCACAAGTTTTTTGGAATGATAATGAGGTCTTGTCTACACTAGAAAGTTATGACAACAGAACAGTGGCACCGTACCAGAGAACAACAAACCTATTTTGGTAGAATGCGCTCATACTCTGCCCCTTGTGGCCACACAGCTCATGTTGCATCAGCAAAAGCACACTGCATTGTGAGCAGGCATACCACTGCCTCCATGTTGCCTTCAAGTACACTATTTTGGGGGGAAATGTTGCTGTGAATTATGGGGGGAGTCAAATGTTTCTCTCTCTCTGTTATCTCTAACTCATCTGAAACAATACCAATGTAGCTCCCATCAGTTCTTCCTTTACAATCCCTTCTTGTCCATACCTCAGTCATTTTTCACCTCAAGTGTTACAATCTCCTCCTCTCCGGCTTCCAAGTTTCCCACCATGCATCCTTCCATCCAAAATGCTGCAGCACAAATTATCTAGCTATCCCAACCTATTTACGGGTATCCTTTCTTTTTTGTTCCAAATTCTGACTCCTTCTTTAGGCTTTCAAAACTCTGTCCCTGCCTACATCTCAGTCCTCACCCCGTAGTATTCCCCCCAGCCTTCCCATTACAGCTCTCTTTAGTTCTTATTCAGAAATTGGTTCTGTGTGGGAGGGCCCCTGCTCCCACATGGAACCTGTTGTTGGGGATGGTCTTAGTCTCTTTTACTCACTCACACCTTTGTAATTTTTTCCCCCATGCCACCCTATATGCCTAGAAAGTAAATAGCTTCATCAGTTTCCTTCAAATCCATCATCAAAACTCATTTTCTTTCAGCTAGTTTCCACCACCCTCAATTGTCAGCTGCCACTCACCCCAACTTACCAAATAACTATGATGGAAGTCAAAATTTACAAATTCAGTAATTGTATCACAATCTTATGATATTTGGTGTTTTCCATGAAACCCCAGCTCCTAGAGTCATGGGATTGTAAAATTTTCAGCATTTTAAAAAAAGATGTTTAGCTCTGATAGTTGTAGAGGAAAACTTAAAAATATAAATCTTAGATCAAAACCCAGAACACCCCCTCACACACACCCCCTTTATTATTTTTTAAATCTCATGATTTTTGCACATGCCTCATGCATGGTTTCTGATTATTTGAGAGGCAACACTGGGAAATTGGCAGGTTTATAAAAGTATTTATGGTTTCTTTTTGTTGCTCGGCTATTTTTGGCTAAGGGGAGATTTTCGGGAATTTAAAATACTGTGTACTTTAAAATATATATAAATTACAGCTCCCTAGAGCCAAAGACAGTTACTCTATTTTGATTTATGTAAAAATACAATACATGCATTTAGTCAAAGGAGCTATACCAAAATAACCACTCACGTAAGAGCTTTTCTTCCTTCCTCTTCTTTTGCCAACTCACACCTTTTCTATTCTCTTCCTTGGTCTGGTGACATTATTTGCAGGATCAGGCTCTATATTAACACTTACTACTAAACCGTTCTTACTGGCATGGATAGTCCCATTAGTTTATCTGATTACTCTCTCTCCTACGGTCTTGCATGCACACACTGTTAGCCTCAAATTCTGCAGAGATTTATTGATGTGCTTAATTTTACTCACTGAAGTCAATGAAACTACTCACATTAGTAAAATTAAGCATCTGAATAGATTTTTGCAGGACCAGGGCCCTAGCTGTTGAATTTTAGAACGAACTTACAGAAGACACAGCAATGGTAGGACATGAAGTACTACATATGCTCACTACGTCGCAGTAAAGTCTGTTTACAGAAGCATTATGAATTAAGTACCTTCTCAGATACTGAAATTCTGAGCAGTTTAAAAAAAATTATTTGAAACCTTGCAAACAAATGTTACATTAATATCAAAGTTGTAATTAAGAGGAAAGAAGTGAGGATAATTTACCTAAATTTTAAAAAAGCATCAGTTTCCCTTAATTATCTTTAAGGAAAGAAAGGAGACAAAGTGCAAAGTCTAGTTGTGAATTAAAAATTGATTAAGAAAAAAGAAATTGAGCAAAAAAGGAGAATAGTGGGGTACTCTAGGGATTGGTAAATAGGAGCAATGTTAAGGGAATTTTTTAAGTCTACCATTCGCTTCTGTGATGATACTCTCTAAATGTATGGACTCCTCAGAAGATAAAGGCTAAAGAGCAATTGAATAGCGGAATGAAGACATGCACCTGATGTGCATTAGCAGTTTAAAAAGCAAATTGGATACTTGGGGCCAGTAATAAAATAAAAGCCTTGTATACACACAAGTTGCAACAATTTAACAGTATGGGTTTCTAAAAAGATAGTTAAATTGGTTGTATCCCCCTAGCATAGCAGGTTCACATTTATACCAATAAAAAGGTGTTCATCAATACAGATTTTACCAAAACACACTCGATATAAACAAGTAATCAGTATAACTGCATACACAATATGGGGTTGTATTGATTTAGAAATCAAAAGTTACAAATCAGTCCAACTTTGTGTTTAGACAATGTCCACAACACATGCAATTATACATCTTCAGAGTGCTTCACAAATGTTAATCTCAACAGGTTTGTGAGGTAGTCAAGTAGTATGATCCCCATTGATGCAATTGAGAAAAAAAGACACCCAGCACACACACTCTTACCATAAGGATGATGGAAAAAACTAATTAGAATTTTACTTGCTTATAGAAAGAAAGTTTCTTGCTCCAGCCAAGTAGAATTTTGCAAGGCTGAGCTCTAGAAAAAATGGTTAGGTTGGATATTTCCTCTCTCTGTCATATTGGTTTAACTGCAACAGGACAATTTGAAAAAGAAAACCCTGTCCATTAATAAAGAGATTTTACAGAAGTCTGGGCAAAAATTATTATATTCCCTGCAAAGATGCAATTTTGTGAGGCATAATTCTCTGCTCTACAGGATCGGAGTTACAGCTCTGACTAGGATCTTATTTGTTTTTAATTTCTATGTAACCAAAGTTATATCAAATTCCACACTTTTCAAAGTTTCCATTTATCCTATTTACCCCACTAGATCAGGGTTCTTTGTTTAAAAAAAAAGTTTCAGCTACTTATTTGCTGCTTTTTTCCTTTTTGGCAGTGGATGGATGTCCAGTACATTTTTACTTTTCCTCTATCCAAGTGCAATTGAAGTTCTTCAATAAAGCACTGTCAAGTTAACTTTCTTCAACAGATGACAAGTTAATCCAAAATGATGAACCATGTAAATTGCTTACTCATTAATTTCAATGTTTGGATCTCTCTATTCTGCATAATAGAGAACAATCACAATTTTTTAAACAATTCTTCACTATTAGAAAGCTACCATAGCCTGAAACAATGTATTTTTCCCCTCTACTAGAGAGCAAAAAAAAAAAAAAAAATGTTTAGCAGAGGAAGTTAATTTTGATTTGGATGTGTGACTGACGCATCTAGTTTCCTACTATAAAAATAGTTCTTATTAAAGTATATTTTCAAAATCTAATTATGCAATACATTTAATTACAAAATAAAAAAAGAGGTTAATATTTAAAATTACTTAATTTATTTACACTCTGTTTCAAAAACAGATTTTAGCATTTTTGTACATATTTTTTTAGAAATGCATTAAAAAAACCCACACAGTATAGGTCAACAATTCTCCTGCAAAGTCAATTAAAAAAAGACAAACAAAAACACCTGCCTGAATTTTTTTAATCTATTATTGCTACGAGTATCTACTTAATTACTGCAACTGAAAAATTAAGAGAGTTTTGTCCCCTCACCTCCTCTGTTTACACTATGAATTGGATGGCACTTTACATATAGTTTTGCTATTTCCCTGTTTGAGAATATCATTCACATAAGAAAAAGGAAAACCATTTAAAAAATAGGAAAATTTAGTTGTAACATCATAAATATTGAGGAATCAGGGCAGGCGTATGTAGCATTTGAAACTACTTTTAATTATTTTTTAAAAACCAATTCAATTTCAAGTTGGCGTCCCTTTAAATGTCTTGCCATCCATTTTTATAAATAGCTTACACAAAGTTTACACTTAATCTTACTTACTTCCTGATAAGCATGTCAGCTCAGGTGACAACATTTATTTTACTAATATTGATTCAAAAGGTACAGATGTAAAATAACTATTTTGTCAGACTGCAGAAATGAAATAGTTAAAAGCTTATCTAGACTGTTAAACAGTGTATATATTCATTTGAACAGGAGGCTGTACCAAATTCTATAAGAAAACAGTTACACATTCAGAGAAGTTAATCCCCACCCCACATTTACTTAAGAGCATCCCCGATACAATTTTTCAGTACTAGTTGTCATCAGCACTGCTGAAAAAATTTAACCATGTGAAGCAGTTTCTCTCATTTAAGTCTAAGAGTTAAAACTGGGTCAATTGCATGAAATAATATTACACTGCAAGAATTTTTCCTGAAGATGTAAATGAATTTAAAATAGCGTCTATTACATAGAAAGCAATGAAATCTACAGCTTTTGAATCCTTTGAGATCTGTTTAACAATACAACTGACTTGGCTTCATAATCTCCCTCTCTAACCCGTACCTTAGTTTCAATTATTTTGGTCTGAATCACGGCCATCCAAGAAAGCATTTATCCAAGCACAAGGGCTGGCAATTCCATTATAGGATCACTCTTGTACCATGCATGCATTAGTTATGCCAATCTTAATTTAACATGTTTTTCACATTCATTCTGTCGGGCTTGGGGGAATAGTCAGAGGTGATCATCTCAAACCATGTAGTTATAAGATCCAAGGAAGATTGCTGAAATAAAGGGAGCTTCACGCAAATAAACTGGGGCCATCAGCCTAAGTGTGTGGAGGGAGTGGGGGGAGGAGGGAAGAAAGGAGGAAAGAGTCCCAACATAAGGAGGTCATTTGTATTTCTCACACATGATCAGTAATATCATATGGCTTTAACACTCAGTTATATAGCAATTGGGGGAGGGAGATCCACTATACCTAACTGGCACAGATATTTGTGACCTGTGGACTCAACAAGAAGACAAAGACATCCGATTGAAGCAACCTCAGAAGGGTACAGAGCTGCGGATGTCCATGGATCATAACTGAACTCCCAAACTGCACCAACCACATTCAACATTTTGTCTGAAAGAATACACAGCCTACTATTTCTTAGCCAATATTTCAAACATCAGAAAAAACAAATGGAAAATTAACAGATATGTAATTAAAATTATGACGTTTAAATTCCCCTGCATATATCAAAACTAAATTTACATTATGATTAATATCAAACAGCATAGCATTAGAAAAGAAGGCATCCTGAATGGCTGAAATGGAAAAGCGGCAATTTACCAACTGGTTCTTAGCATTCTGGAGTTTATAATACTGTACAAGAGACTCTTTCCCCAGTAACAACTTTAGCTCACCAGTATAACAGAGTCTGTCTTAACAAGTCCAGAGAATTTAAAAATAATTAATTTGGACAAGTTGATGTATGCTCAGCTTTCATGTCCTTCTAGCTGGTTTTGCTGTTAACTGTTTCTCTCTTTCAAGTTCCTTCTCACGTTGCTGTTCTCGTTCTAGTTCTTCTTTCTGTTTCTTCTGCTGCAGTTTGAGTGCTCTTTTCTGAACCAGAAAAAAAACAAAATTAATCAGAAGCTCTGTGGTTTTTGGAACCTAACTTAAATGCAAGACACATGCACACATGACTGAGATCTTGCCAAAACCCTCTCAGGCCCTCTTAATCCAGAGGACACCTCCCTCTTTCTTACTATCTTCTTTCCCTGTCCTTTACCCCAGGCCCTGCATCGTGATGATGTATTTAGGGGAGGGACGAACCGGATTCCTCCAAATCCCACTATCACTGCTCTTTAAGAACACCAGAGGAGTATATACTATGCAAGTTGTTGCCTCCACAGAGGACTTAATTTTTTGTTGGCTAAGGACTAAGGGACCAAATTTAACAGCTGAATGAAGTCAGACATGCTATATACAGCAGCCCACCAGGTTGGTAGAAGTTATGCCATTGTTGGTGTTATACTAAAGGATGGAGAGGCAGAAGAAATTCTCAGCCTCAGCTTTAAGACAGAATCTAGCTTTTCTTAATAGTTCAACATCACCAGTGATGCCAGTGTACAAATATATTTTAACATAAGGAAATTTAAGTGAAGGTTAAAAACAGCCATGGTTAGTTTCAATGCCACTGGAAATACAAGGTAAACAAGTTTACACAAAGAAAGGGGATATAAAGAACCAGGTTTTTCTTACAAATTCCTAACATATTAAAAATACTGATTAAGAGTATGTGATAGTATGCTGTTAAAATTCTACATTGATAGGCAGCGGAAACAAGGAAGCAAAACTCACTCCACTCACTTTTAACTTTGATGTCTTTTCATGGAGCATCATCATCTCTTTTCTAATATTCACTAGCTTGCTGTGATAATGTTTAGCTTCTGAAAACTTTAAAAACACAAGACAGTTGAATAGTAAGATTCAGTGGATCAAAATGTTTCTTAGCCTGGAGTATAAAGCTATGCCCTAAAACAGCAACTTCAAAAACAGGCTGAAGACCAGTCAGTTTGAGACTGGCTTGAATATTTTAGGGTCTTAATTCTAAACACTTAAAACAATTTTAATAAAACTACTATGTATCAAAGGGTACAGATTACTATAAGTATTTAAATATTCATTAAGGTAGAAGAAAGCATTTTATCGCTTGCATGCTCATTAGTTTTCAGTTTTATATCCCAATGTGGCTGAAGCTTAGCAAGCGCTAGTCATAAAATTCAAGCTCTTATATGGTTCCACACTTAATTCTCAAGCCTACCTTATAATTTCCTAAAGTTCTTACAAACACAAAGTTAGCTTCATATGCCACAACTGCATATGCAATTTCTGTAAGACACTGTCATTTGCCTTAAACTATGGCAATCATGAAGTACAGCTGTGAATTTTTGTTGTTGTTGTTAGAATATTCCCTCAAGTTACCACTAACAAACTCAAACTCAAAAAATATGCAACTAAATTAAAGGACCAAATGCGGTCCCTGTGCACAGCCTGAGTAAATGTACGAGAGTGAACCAGAATCCTTCCACCAACCTGGGGAGTAGGACACAAAGTACCATGGGTACCCAATGGCTGCTCCTGGAGCCTCAGTAGCATATGCAATCTTTATGCACTGATTTTGGCTTCTAGATTTATATAGCTGGACCCACTGTCTATGCCTGCTAATCCCTCATCTGCAGGCCAGTAAGGGTATGTCTACGCTGCAGTAAAAGACCCATGGCAGGGCCGCAGCTGGCTTGGGTCAGATGACTTGGGCTCACAGGGCTTGGCCTGGTGGCTATAAAATTGCAGTGTAGACACTTGGTCTCGGCCTGGAGCCTGGGCTCGGAGACCCAGTGAGGGGGCAGGTCTCAGAGCCCAGGCTCCAGGCCAAGCCTGAAAGTCTACACTTCAATTTTATAGCTTCACACCCCAAGCGCTGCAAGCCCACATCAGCTGACCCAGGCCAGAAGTCGCCATGTTGCAGGTCTTTTATTGCAGTGTATACATACCTGTACAGACTTGAGTAGTCCTCCATGTTCTCCTCTTTCCATTTAACAGAATCACGTTGGTTCTGTTGTATTTTCCAATTTACAAAGAACAGACTTATTGATGTAATGATTATTAGTAGTCTGTTTATAACATTTTCTCTGGGGATGAAAAACAATACATGTGCATATAAAATTTTTTGTTAAAACATAGGCAAACTTATAATAGAATACACTTACCAAAGCATTGATATCAAGAATGGAATTACATTCTCTGAATTTTGAAATTTCTTGCTCTAATGTGTCTAGTAACACTACTTGATTCTGTCTGAAACAAAAATACAAAGACTTTAAGACACACTTAAGAAGTCAGATTAAATCAGTGGTTCTCAAACTGGGGCCACCGCTTGTGTAGGGAAAGCCCCTGGTGGGCCGGACCTGTTTGTTTACCTGCCCCGTCCGCAGGTCCGGCCGATCGCAGCTCCCATTGGCCTGGAGTGGCGAACCGCGGCCAGTGGGAGCCGCGATCGGCCGGACCTGCGGACGGGGCAGGTAAACAAACCGGCCCGGCCCACCAGGGGCTTTCCCTACACAAGCGGCGGCCACAGTTTGAGAACCACTGGATTAAATAGACTGTGTTGGATTTATTAAAGAGTACTCACAATTTTGAGTTTTACTACTGTTCTCTTCACTGAAATCTTAACATACTGATTGTTAATGAGGATATAATGCCAGAAATAAGTTGTATAAAAATCAACATTCCAAGAGAATTTTTTCAGATTAACTATTTCGGTTGTACTAAATAGCTTTTTTCCCATATTAGTAGATCAGGAATAATCAGGAAACCTACAGAAGTAGATAAAGGAACTGAGTCTTTGCAGATTTTTTTTTAAAACTGATATTTAAATGAATTCTAATTAAACAGTTATAAAGGACTCTGCTATCTCTCTTCCTGCTACTAAAATGTTCTTGTGCACTATTTGGAAAATTCTAAGCACAGCAAAGACATTTGCTGGAAATCCCAACAGTGTCTTAGAGCAATGCACACAGAGGGGACCCTTATAAATGTTAAGCAATGAAACAGAACAGTGTGTGCTAATTAAAAGTAGAGTCTGGGAGTTTCATACATGCAAGAAAAATCTTAAAAATATCTTTCTTGCAATCACCGTTTTAATAGAACATCTCAAATTCTGGATGTTTTTCTCCAAATAAAGTTGTACAACACAAGGTTACATCTCTCCAGAAAAAGAATGAGCACTTAGAAAGTTGATGTGTCTTTTGCTGTGACTGGGTGCATGGATTTCAGCGCTTTAATTTTAAAATTGTCCATCTTAACGGCTGGTAGGTTACGTGGCTGGCAATTCTTTTAAAATTATACTTATAATCTGCAGAATATACACTCACTGTTCAAAGTGCTGCACTCAAAGCACAGAAAAGTCTATTTTATATGTAAACTATACTACAGGAAAATATATTCCACTTACACAGAAGAAGGGAATTTGACTGAAGAAATTCTAGAGAGGAAATGCATATATTAGAAAGCGTTGCTTTTTTCAGTTTGCTTACGTGAGCTCTTGGAGGGCTAGTTTTGATCGCTGAAGATCAGGTAAATAATGAGAAATCAATCCTTCAGTTAGTTGCTCCACAGCTTTCTTATCTATAATAGCCAAATCTTCTATTAGTCCCTCATCTGGAGATGCCTCACAGGAATCTGTAACAAGAAGTAGCAATCTTAAACTGCTAAGAACTATTGCAATCCCTTTATCTGTTAGTACTAACGGATTTTCTATTTTGAAATAAAAGTTGGGAGTCTCAGCAATGGAGTGTAAATTGCAGTTCCTTGCACTTCATCAAGTGAGCAATGCTCCTTTCACCTCCCTACATGATGAGGTTTCAGTTGCAAAATCATGCCATGACAGAATACAGCAGAGGGGTGAGATTTCAACAAAAATGTACACTGTGCATACAAGCCGCTCTAAATCAGGTAAACCAATTCAGACATGCCAAATGCTCTTCCCTCACAGAAGTCAAACATACACAAGAAATGGAAGCATATCCACTTGAGTGCAGCTTCCCGAGTTCAAATTCCCAATTTGGACGCTCAAACGTTAGAGACGAGCCAGGCAAAAAGACCCCTCCTCCCCCAATCTCCATGACAAGAATAACAAGGTTTGCACCATACAATACAGGGGCCACCGCGAACGATGCCAGCGATTAGTAGCCGAGCTCCGTGTGGCCGCTGCTCACATACCCAGCGCGGGTCCCGTCTGCCTCGGGGCGGCGGCCTCCAGCAGGAACCCCTCCTTCCCCTCGGGCTGCTCCATGGCGCTCCTCGCCGCTGCCAGCTGAGGGCACAGAGCGACAGCAGCATGAGCGCGATCCCCGGCCGCCGCTGCCTCCTCCCGAGGGGGGGCACCGAGGCTCCCCGCCCGGCTGCTCGCGGCCCCTACCCCGGGGCAGAGCCCATCGCTCGCGCCCCGTGGAGAGAGGTTGGTCCGGCCGGAATTTGGCTGAGGGGGCGGGGCTCCACGGGGGTCGGCCCGCCCCTAGGAGTCGCGTGCGGCGGGGGGCAGGCCCCGGTGTCTGGTGGGAAGCGGCTCCTCGGCTAGACCCTGGAGGGCCTGGCGCGGGGAAGGCGAAGCGGACGGGGGTAGGGGAGGCTCTCAGCAGACCCGGGAGCGCAGCGGGGGCTGGGCCCACCTAACGCGCCTTCGCGTATTGTGGGGTGGGGGCAGTCCGGCACCGCGGCGCTCCGACCCGCTGAGGCAACCGCGCCTCGGCCCCTCCTGACCACAGAACCCGACACCGCAGTTGGGCTCGGAGAGGGGAACCGTCCACTACCCCGGATGTAGATGGGAGCCGAGCCCGGAAGTGACCCCGCTCCCAGAGAGGTAGTCAGTCACCTGACGCTGCTGGTTGCTAGGACGGGACCCTTAGCAACAGCGGGAGATGGGGTGGTCCAAGGCCCAGCACTAAGAGTGGGTGTCGCCTGTCACTACAGCAGATGCAGTTTTCAGACACATTGAGTTTCAAGTTGACGGTATCGCAGGTCTTGGGGAAGGTCCAGTTTTCAAATGTCAGCAGCACAGTCCTTTGCTGTACAGCCCTGTACATGAGTCTTGCAGGCATCCCCTCAGACTCCATTTTATTGCAGTGGAAGCTCAGGATGCTCTGCCCCCTGGAAGACGAAGTAGTGGAACCATCACAGACCTCCACATAGAAACAGAAACAAACAAAGTGCAATGGGGAATAGAGAGAGTCTTCTGAATCCTTTATTTATTTTCTCAGTAGACGGGGATAGGTTTCTATGGCGTCCTCTAAAGCAGTGGATACTCAGACAGTGGTTCAGGAGCCAAATTAGCAATCAACATTGCTCAAAAGAAGAGCCACATTAGTATGAATGACAGGGGAAATATTTAGGTTTTTATATAGTCTCACAGCAAATAAGTTATCAACTTACATTAGTAACTTAGTGTAATTGGTTAATAACAGTAAAAGCATCCTGATTGGTTAATAATTAAAATCACACCATGTTTTAATATCATGTGTTGCAAAGAGCAGAAGAGACATATTAAAGAACCGCTTGTGGCTCAAGACACAATCTGTGTATCACTGCTCTAAAGCTTGTCTTCAGGTACAGTGCTACGGCTACACTGCTGGAGCACTTTAATGAAGATGCTACTACATGGTGTTGTTAAATGTTAATCCACCTCCTTGAGGCAATAGCCATGTCAACAAGAGAAGCTCTCCCATCCATATAGTATAACTAGAAGTTATACCGATATAGGTTTATAGTGTAGTCCTGGCCTAAGATTTTTCTCCCAACTCACTATTCTCTTCACAAACTTCTATTTGTAATTACCAAAACAAATGCAAACTAAATTTTGAGATTATTATTTGTAGAAAGCAAATTTGTTTGTTCAAAAAAGTAATATCAGCAAATTGCCATGTCAGGTACAACCATTATGGAATTCGAATAAAGGAAATGAGGAACAGGTGGCTAAATGCGTGGTTGGCCCCAGGGCTAGCTCCACAAAGGGGATTTAGGTCATGGCTACATGGGAGGGGCGGCTGCTAATCAAAAGCTTTTTGATGCACATCAGGTAACTTGCGGTACGCAAGTTGCACTAATTGTGTTCCCACAGAATGCTTGTTCCATTTGCAATTTGCGTCACTTAAACACGAGGTGTTTGCTGCAAACTGAGGGCATTGTATTCTCCAGGGGCATCCCATTGTCCTTTGCTTCAGTGCTGAGCAGTGTGCATCCTCCTGGGACTGTTTTTGCTTTGAACTGTGCAAAGCTAGGCAGGTTCAAATTTAAAAGAAAAATCCCATATCTCTACCATACTACCTCATACTCTGCCCCATACTTCCTTTTTGGGCTGGCTCATGCTGTTTTCAAATTGCTGTCAGCCAGTATGGATCCAACAATGCTCCATGTTGCTATGGTGACAAGTGCAAATATGCTGCTTGGTTGGTACTACAACACTCAGAGCTGGATGAATTCTGCATTGGAGTTGGCCTGTTGTACCACTGAGCAAATGATGTGGGAACAGGAAAATATTCTACAGCAGCAGCTCCTCCTGGGCAGCAGGAGGATACTCTGCAGTCCTGGCAGCAGAATGAGGCAGGAAACACTGAGCTGTTGGAACAAGAGGACTGATTCCTGGATCACATATACACCATTCAGCACAGTTGCTGGACCCAAGAAACCAGTGTGGATTGGTGGGAAAGGATTATTCTGGAGAGCTAGGGTGACCACTAGTGGCAAGAGAACTTCAAGATGGGGAGAGCTACCTTTCCTTGAGATCTGTGGAGAACTGACCCCGGGGCTTCAGTGACAGCATAGCAACCTGTGATGCACTATACGCACGGAAAAATGGGTCGCCATTGCCATCTGGAAGTTTTTCCCCCACCCCAAGAACGTTACCAGTCTGTAGCCAACCAGTTTGGCCTGGGGAGGTCAACTATTGGGGCTATTGTCATGCAGATCTGCTATGCCATTGATAAGATGCTGTCTAACTGGGTCACAAGGCTCAGAAGATTATTGATGGCTTTGCACGTATGGGGTTCCCAAACTGTATTGTGGCAACTGATGGATCTTCAGTGCCTATCATTTTCCCCACATATACAGTCAGGGCACCTAATTTATAAACAGAAAGGGTTATTTCTCCATGGTGCTCCAAAGATAGGTTGACTACCATGGCAGGTTTACAAACAAATGCAGGGTGGTCTGTGAAGGTCCACAATGCTAGGAACTTTCAGGACTCAATACTATTTAAACTAATGCAGAAAGGACTGTTTGCTCGCAGGAGCACTATAGACATTAATGGTATGGAGGTTGGTCCAGTTATACTGGGAGACTTGTCTTATCCCCTGATGCCCTGGCTAATGAAGCCATACACCAGTGTCTTGAACAAAAAGAAGGAACATTGTAACTATCACCTGAATAGCTTCAGAAAGGTAGTTAAGTCATTTGGCCATTTGAAAGGCAAATGGCTCTGTTTATGGAATAGGTTGGAAGCAACAGAAAAAAAATGTTCCAACCATTATAACTGCATGTTGTGTTTTGCACAATATTTATGAGCGCGAAAGGGAAAACCTTATCAATGGGTGGGAGGCTAGGGTGACCAGACAGCAAGTATGAAAAATCAGGACGGGGGTGGGGGGGTAATAGGAGCCTATATAAGAAAAATACCCCAAAATCAGGACTGTCCCTATAAAATCGGGACATCTGGTCACCCTATGGGAGGCTGAGGTGTGGAGACGTGCTCAGAGGTTTGAGCAGCCAGCAAAGCTCCCATAAAGAACACAAACACATGGGAATGCTGTCAGGGATACCTACTGTTCATATTTTGATGTTCGCTCATGGGCAGGGGGTTGGCAGTGTTGGGATACAGACTTTGCGAGCACTGCAGTGTTGTGTGTGGGTGGTTGAAATTTAACATTCCCTATGTGGTTCTGCAAAACCCTATGAATGATTTCAGCATTATTTAAAGGATTTTCTGTGTTAAATGCAATGATGACTCACAAAACCATTTGCCATACATCCATTATTATGAAAGAATTAAAAAAAAAAGTTAATTAAACCAAAGGGAAAAAAATCTTTGTATTTGGAAGTACGTTTAACAAACCAGTATTCTTAAGTAACCAGCTATACACAACCCTTCAAAATCAAACACAAATCAAAGTGCAACAGTAAGAACATTTCAAATATAACTTTTTTTTGGGGGGGGGGGGGGGGCATAAAGTTAAAGGTCATATATGTGGAAAAACCTGCAGAGCACAGATTAGACTCCTCAGCCATCTTAAGTCTCATCAATGAACTTTTCCCTGGCAGACATCATCCTTGTATCAAGGGATAACTGACGACAGCACATTAGGCAAAGGGAGACTTGAACCCAGTTCTCCCACATCCTGTGGGACTGGTCTAACTCCTGGGGCATGTACACTGGCACCACCACTAATGGCATTTTACATGTGACCTGATCTGTTAGGCAGCCTCTGAGAATGCCTTACTGGATCAGGCCCTGCAGGAGACAGGTGGGGCAATGTCTAATTTGAGAATCCCATTGGGGTTTAGGTGTGAGCTAGGCATCTGGACTGAGATGGCTGTGCACATGCCAGGACACCTCAAAGTCTGTGGCTGAAGAGACTTTATTAGTGGAAACTTAGGCACCCAGAGAATTTAGGCACTTACAAGTTTAGGTGACACTAAGCAGGGGTTTTGGGGATCTGGATTTTGGACTTAGGGGCCTAAAGCGGCACAGACCTAGCTCCGTATACTCCCTGCACAGGGGACGTCAGAGTGTGTCAGAAGCAGGCAGAGAGCCTTCCAGGAATGGGATGAGTGTGGCCTGGGTGTTCCTGTGCCCCAACTGCCTATTCTCCAGCTGTCACAAGACCCATAGGAAACATAGCAGTCATGCACAAATTAAAACAGCCTTGCCAGCTGTCCCTATTGCTGTCCCAACCAACAGGGGACAAAATGTCTCCCAGCAGCTCCAGCATCAGCAGGGTGCAAGCCTCCTTTATCCACTGCCTCCCGCTCCCCTCCCCCCTCATGCTCTGCACCAACACAAGGATGAATTCCATCCAGGGTCACTTCATGGATTGTTTTCATTAAAGAAAAGTCATCTCATGAATAGGAAATATTCTGAACTGTGACTATTCAATTGATAGTGCAGCTTTTGCTGCGTTCTAAGTTCAAATGACTGCATAAGAAATTAAAACGCTCCATTTAGCCTTTTCACACAGTACATATGAATATATATGGCAGGAGAGTCTTCCAATTTACATCAGGAGAGGCTTGATTTTTTTCCATATGTTAAGGAACCAATGTTATAACAAAATTTGCAGAAGCCTGATCTAATCTCCTGTGATAAAATCACTGGCAACGAACAGGTAAATTTCTCTCTCTGGCACTTAAAACGGCATATGCTTTTGAGAAATTGATGAATTGCTAATTAGAGATTTCAAGTCATAATAAGGTTGGTGCACTTACAAAGTTTCTTGTGGTTTGAAAGCTATTAGCAGTTTCTGCCATATTCTCCATTTTATATAATCTTCAAATGGGCGAATTTTTCAAATTTTTTAAAGCTTGACCACTGTACCTTGCATTTATACAACACTTTTCAGCTTCAAAGCACTTTACAGGGGACATGTCAGAGTGTGTCAGGAGCAGGCAGAGAGCCTTCCAGGAGTGGGATGAGTGTGGCCTGTCCTCATCAATCTAATCAATCACTTATTGGCTTTGAATACGCTATTTGAAACCACTCCTTCCTAATAA